ATCAAGCAGTAGCTTGCAGCAGGGGAGAGGAGCCCCTGGGCTTCATGGTGTCCATTCAAGCTCYGATAACAGCAGTGTCATTTGCAGGGTTAGTTGTATGGTCCCAGTTCCCAGATGGACTCCATAGGGATACACCAACCTCACTGAGGGCTCAAGGCCTACGCACATAGATGGATATTTTGTAATTGCATATTTATTTTTAGATAGCTAGAACTACAGAGAGACCTTTCAAACACAAAGAACACTATAGAACTGTTTGTAATTTCTTTTGTACTTAATCCCATTTTTGCTTTCTGCATATTTGCCATTAAAATTTCCAACAAGAGTGTGGACAAAACCTRCAGGGACATTTGTATGCTGTCATTTAAGCTTTTAGAAAGGCCTTTTGCTTTCAGAGCATTGCCCTTGCTTTGTGCTCTCTTTGTAACTAGTAAATCTCAGAAATCAAATGCAATTCCCTTTGCTTCATTGCCTTCTAGTTACCGCTCAGAATATTTTTTAGCTCATCCCAGGAGCACAAGGGAATAATATCTTTCATTAAAAACATGTATGTKCAACACAGCTTTCAGAAAGCGGTTTTCCAAGAACACCATCCATGAAAACATGATCAAAACTATTAAATTAAATGGGCAGTTAATATTTCAAAAAACATATAGCTAACCCACCAGAAACCAGGCCTTGTAGAACTCCAGATTACCTCAACCAGTCCATAATATCAAATATGTAGTATTTCCCTTAAAATGCATAGAGATATTTTCTGGTTGAGAGTGGCACTTGGAGTTCAGCTGGGAATTTGCCTAAACCATTGAATCGTTTGGTTCAGGTCCAGAGGGGTGAGGTTGTGGTGGTTCTTGTTATTTTAATATTTTAAAGTGTTAAGTGCATTTTCTCCCTCTACTCTCCCTCCTGGGAAACTGTTAAAATGGTGAAATATTTTATTCTTCCATTATTTGTATCATATTGCCCAATTTATTTCTTTTCCTGTAAAGAGCTTCTTGTAGCTATACTACACAAACCTCCTGATGCTTCTAAGGAAGACAGAAACAACAGAGATTGTGAATGCAAAATCAGGTCCCAAAACTGAATTAATGTTTGAGAGAAAACCCATGCCAAGAAAATGGTGGAGCAAGAACAATTTGTGTTGTCTCCAGATGGTCCTCCCAACTGAGTTTCTCTGCCTCTGCCCTCTATTTAAATGCATAAACATGCACAATTAAAGAAAACAAATCCTRTTACAATTTTGCAAGGAAAATAGAGTTTGGGGATTGTGCACAACAGAGTGAAAACTCCTGAGAGCTGTARGGAACCTTGCCCCTCTGGGGCTCTTCATACACACATGATGTGACTAAAAAACTGTTTGTTCCTTACATGACATTAACTCCTTCCAATTCTTGATTCCCTTTCTCCAGTTCTCTCCATTCTTCTTGTAGACATCAACCCTGTCCGGCAAAAAAAAAAAAAAAAAAAGGTATCCTAGAGGAGTAAAGACCAAATAGCAGCTAGATAGGGTTTTGCAGGACTCTAGCAGGACCATCCCACCGGGACCTCTAGTCCCGAGGCAATCCAGCAGCTCTGTGGTTCCATCTCTTTCCTGGCACATCAGAAGAACATTATTTTATCACAGCTCCTAGTGCATAAGCTAGGGAAGGTCAAGGGCACAAAGAAGTTGCAAGAAAATGAAGAAAAAAGACCAAAACAAACCAACCAACAAAGAAGAGGAAGATTGGGAAAATGGTAAGAAAATGAGCATCCTGAGAGGATGGAACGAAAAGGTACATTAAAAAATCTGTAAACCTTAAAGTATACTGACTTGTAACATTTATGTTTCAGGGGATTCTACTCATGATTTTGAAGTTTGGGGTTAGCAGAAGTTCTGGCCAGAATATTTTTAACAAGCTATCCCACCAGGAGAAAATGTTGATTCACCAAAGTTGAAACATTTTTTAAATATTTTGAAGGACAGATTCTTGAGGTCCAGGGCACTCTGGTTATTTCTGACAGTGCAGCAAGAAAAACCTAAATTGAAAACATAATATCTGAAGGTTTTGTTTTCATTCCATTGTAAAATGAAAACAAATTGTAAAACCTCAGAAGTTGTCACAGAGCTGAATTATCATCCCCTGGCCAGTTCTAGTTGGTTACTGTTATTATCCATTTTACAGTTATTATACTGCAATCATTATTATCCAAAGGCTTCCTCCCACTGCCACTGAAAGAAATACTTCTTTTGACATATTTTCCTAGGAAAACACCTCAAACAGGATGAGTTCACGTATTTTTTTTTTTATTTTCTCTCTATATGAAGAGATGTAATGGTGGTGGGAGAGCCTCACAATCCTTAACAGTCATGGCAAACCAGGGTAGTACTTAAGGAAAGGGAAAACAGTCCTGAATCAAGTCCTATTCCTTTTGTTAAATATGCCTGCTGTATGCTACCTACAGTTTTCATTTTTTCTCTTCTTCTCTGATGACTTTCAGTCTGCTTTACTGKCTAATAAATTCACATTTCTACTTACCAAGAACCACATTTATTTCTAGAGCAGGAGTTAGCAAAAGTTTCTCTGAAAGGTTTTTCAAGCTCAGTCTCTGCCTGTGACACGTGGTCTTGCTCCAGGAAATGGTCTCCACAGTCAATGACATGGGAACAGGGATTTCAGCCACAATACCTGGTGTCTGTGGATAGAAGTGTCACATCCTAACGACACTCTTTACTGAGCATAGAGAAAATAGAAAGCCTGTCCTTCCCATGAGCTTCTCAGCAGAGGGCTCAAAGTCATGTTCCCTGCACGACTTACCTCCAACATAAAGAAGTTCATCTGGGGTATCTGAGGACTGAATTTCCTATGTGGGCAGCCCTCCCTAGCACACTCTCACTGTGAGCTGTCAAGAAAGAATAAAAACAGAGCCATCAGAAGTAACGAGAAATCACTACTGACAGTTCCTAATGGATTTTCTTCCTGGAATAGCTAGAAGTGTGTCCGGAAAGACACTGGGTTCATTTCCCAATGGGAGTGGTGGGTGTGAGTAACTAAAATTAGATATATTCTCTATTAGTTGTAAATATTTTTGCCTGTTGCCATAATATATAACTCCTAGTCTTATGATCTTCAGTATGAGGAAATCTTGGTAAACACGTTTTGATGCCCAAAACGGAACAAGTAGTTTTTAGGCAATCCCGTTCAACACTCATACAAATTGAGAGCTTCAACTGCTTTGGGATGAATTGTAGAGCTGTGGTTAAACAAATATGAATAAAAGGAGACCTTTGAAATTAAGGAATGTGTTGACAATAACAAAAGTCTAATAAGTAGATCAATAAAATAAGTGAAGGGAGCAGATAATTTCCTTCATGCATTTCTATACAAACTGCTGATCTCATAGGAAATGAGAAAGAAGTGAATCATGACACATACAACAAATAATTTCTCAAGAAGGAAGATCAATATTCCCCTTATATATTTGTAGGAAATGTTTATATATTAATGCTTGTGCAATTTATTTTTGTCAAAGAAAGACTTATTAGGTTACAAGAAGCCATATGTTTGTGGATTTTTTTCCCCTGAATTTCCTTTTCTATATTAGTTTACACAAGCAGATAGAGAAGTACCTGTAGTTTCCACTTCAGAGAGTTTTCATCTCAATCATTTGCTCGGGTGCATGCTGCTCAATAGAGACAACAGTTCACATGCTACTCACCACTGCACAGATGCAACACCAGTCAGTTACTGCAAGTAATAAATGAGATTATTTCCATTCCTCTTTTTTTTTTTTTTTTTTTTTTTTTTTTTTTTTTTTTTTTAATAGTAAGAGAAGGAAAAGAGATGGAGCAGCAAAGAGAAGTATACAGCATCTCAGGACAGGGCCAGGGCCTGGTTGCTCCATGCTCCATGCGGGACAGTGAGCAGCACATGCTCTGGAGCAACAGCTAGCKCTGGACAATAAAAAAACCTCTGATGAAAAAATATCCCAGCAGAAAGGACTCAGGAGATAAAAGGGCAAAATAGGCCTGTAGAGCAAAAAGGTGCCGCCCCTGCTTTTCTCCTGGCACGTCAATATTCAAAAATCTCCTTTATACTTCTTCAGACAAAAGCAGCTCCACCGTAATCCCAGCAGGGACCAGAGTTCAACAGCAACAATAGGAGAGAACAGTAACAGGAACCAGAAAGTCAGGGCAGATCAGACAAAATAAACACCAACTTGAAAAAACATGCAAAGCCCAGAACGAAGCTGCATCTGGGAACTCATGCTATACAATAGAGTCATTTCTGGAGTAGAAAAAGTATAGCTGGCTGGAAGACTTTTCTCTCTTGTCCGGGCACCTCTGTGATAGTTTTGGCCAGATGTCCATGTGTGGAAAATCTCCTCTTTCTTCCTCATCAAAAAACTTAGGTAGGAATCTTTTAAAGGCACCATAGGGGCACCAATTCACATTCAACAAGAGTTTTGAAAAGAAGTCTTCTGGGTTCCCTTCCTCATTTTTATTCCCAAGTGGTTTAAATCTACCTAAAACGCCTGAATTGCTGAAGGTTCCTTGTTCCTCCATAGCCTACAGGCATGGTCATAGACATCAGGGTCTCCTGCACAGCACTGCAGAGAGCCCATCCTTCAGCATCCATCCACTCAGCTTACAGAATGGCTTGCCTAGATGCTCCTGGGGCTATGGAAATATAGACACTAAGCAGATTTTAGGAGCTTTTAGGAGTTTAGCCATATTTTAGGAGTTAGCCATATTTTAGGAGTTAGCCATATTTTAGGAGTTAGGAGTTTAGGAGTTAGGAGTTAGGAGTTATTTTAGGAGTTAGGAGTTTAGTTAGCCATATTTTAGGAGTTAGCCATATTGCAACTTTTGTTGCAGTCACCCATTTGGAGGAAAGACCACAAATTCCCGTAGCTCTACAAAATTGACGATCGTCGGTGACTATCACCGACAATAACAGTACAAAGGATACACTCCAGATGTCTCCTCAACATCCGCTGGGATTTATATCCACCAATTGACAGATGGGAAACTTCAGTTCTGAAAAAAAGATCTATGGGCTGAGTTTACAGTAAGGTAGCCAAGACCAGAATTTCTCTCTTATTTGTTTGTCATCTTGCTATTTCTAGAAATACCTCCCTCTGCCCTCTTGGAACACCAGAGTATATCTTTCCCAGACATGTAGCTAGTTTTTAAARTCAACAAATCTTAAATTAGGAAGAACTAAGCCTACAGAGATCAATATGTCTGAAGGAATAAGGATRCCGAAAAAAAGCATCCAGAAAAAAATGTTTATGAAAGAAAACAAGTTTGCTGAAACAAACTTGCTGCCAATGCAAATTGTGGTCATTCACATAGCCTCAGGTAAAGAACTTGCTTGTGTGAGGTCAGTGAATGTGGAGCAAAGAGCTTGCATGACAACACAGGCCAGAGTCTTGTTCAAAAGGATTTGTCCCTGAGATGAATTTCAAATATATTTTTTCTCTCTAATATATTCTCAAATATATAGTTTCTATATGGTCAAGGACTTAGGGGGAAATAATAAGCTTGTCATGATAAAATCACACATAGGATCAAATGAGTTTGTGCCCAGCATTCTCCTTTGGCTACAAGAGAACAAGTACTTTTTTCCTCACCACTCCCTGAATTATTCCAGTACTGGGTTACTGGACATCAATCCATCATTGAGCASGTAACTAGCTGATACCTCGTGAAACATCTGACTTTATCAAGGAGTTTGCTATACAATAAGAAGTCTGTTCAAACAAGCCAAATTTTCATATTTTAACCGAAAGCAAAGACTTTAGAGAGATAAATAGGAATGTGCTCCCTGACTATATCTCATCTTTTTACCAGAATCTGCTGCCAAACTCCAAGTCCACATATCCTGCTTTTACAGAGGCAGATTTTGAGAAACACCTTTTCTGTGTAAACCAGCTCCAACTACTCTCTTATTGGTCCTCGGTAGTGCTGTATAACCACAATTTATCTCTCTTACCTTTGCCATCTGCTCATTCTTTCCTGCTGAAATGGCACCAGTTGATCATTATTATTTCACACTCTGGAGGATTGAAATGTTCAGGTGTTCATTAGCTTGATGACTCCATGAGCTCTTCTTGCCCATAGAGACTTCTGGGATCATCAAATAAATGATCTGCAAATGTAAGCACAGCACAATAATGTGTACGCTGTATAACATTAAACAAGTCATCCCATGCTATCAAACACTAAAAAATAAAATCATATCAGTAGCTCAATAGCCAGTGTTATTGTGTTAGTTTAGTTGATTTTGAGCTGTAAAGCCCTATAGACAGCAGGCCCTGCAGCAGTTAATAGTCACAGTAGTTAATATCAAAGAATAGCATATCCTAATAAGTTCAGCCCATAGAAAGCCCCTGTGCAACAGCAGCCACACATGACAATTCATCAGATTTTCCCTGAAAAGTAAATTTGTCTCAATATTCCCAGTTTCYTGGAGGGAAGTAAAGCCATGACGTGGTTCCCCAGTGCTGCAGGCTGCAGGACCAGGTCACTCTTGCTCCAGACCAAAGCTTCCCTGGGGAGTCATGCCACTGGCCTCCTCCTGTGCACACAAATTGCTCCTTCCTTTATTTTTCACCTGGAGGAGTTCAAGGCTTAAGCCCTACTTCCTTTGCCAAACCCTTTCCTGGTTGACCATGTAGAACGCTCTCCTTGACGTCTCCACAGCACCATTCACTCATGCTCAGTACATGTGGCCTGGTCTGCTGGAGGCAACAGCAACATGTCCATTGTCTTCATCAAGATGGGAATTTCACGCTCTGTCACCACCTCTCCAGGTGTTTTGCTGGGTTTTCCTCTTTGCTCCACTTCTCACAAATGGACTGGTGAATCCTAGCCAGCATGGGAAGTGTTGAACAGTCCAGAACAGCTTAGGTGAGTGAGGAAAGCCTCACAAGGTTACCTTCCTATGCTGGAGTGGTCTCAGCTTTGTTTGCCTTGTTTCCCTCAGATACTATTGAACAGTAGAATATTATTAATAGTCAGATACTACTGAAGTCTGTCCTTAACAGCAATAGCAAATATAAAGGGTGAAGGACCACAAGCTGTTCCAAGCACAAGTGCTTTCTGCCACTTGGTCCTGGCTACACTACTCATCATGCGCCTCTCCTGAGGAGGGTCTGGTCCCTCCTAGTGTTGTCATAAACTGGAAAAAATAGCAAATTTTATCTGGATGCCTCCAACCATTTCCTGCCTCACAATACAGTGAGTCTTTGCCTGTCTCCCTGTGCTCACACCCTCCCTATCTGCTGCAAGACTCAACCAGGCCCCACTCAGCAAGGCATAAGCACACCTCTAACTCCATGCGTGCTAAGGAACCTAATTCTTAGCAAAGTACTTCCCTTAAGTATGCTAGCAGTTTTCTTGGCTTAAATACTAATTAAAGATAAGCACACGCTTACGTGTTTTGCTGAAACAATCCCAGAATGAGGAAAGTCTGTATTACGCAATGCAAAAATAATACTCTCCATTTATTAAGCATATCTTGACAGTACATTAAAGAAAAAAAAAAAAGAAAAAGCTGGAGCTTTCTTGTTAGCCAAATATTTCTCCCACTTCATGCCATAGGTATGTTCCAATTACGCTGGGAGCAGAATGGCAATATTATGACTCACTTCATATTGTAGGCTGGAAGCACCACATTTCATTCCAGAAAGAAATAAGATTGTAGGCACAAGATTTAAAAGGCRGCTTTTTGTAAGCTACACTCCAGTAGATTCTGGAGCGTATTTTGATCTGTTGCACCATCCAACTCCTCTTCAGCTACAACCCTGGCTGTGCTTATTTTTAAATTTATCACTGTGCAGGGAATATAGCAGGTCCAAATTAACTTAGAGTGGTGAGTGAGGGAGTTAAATGAATTTTTTGTGTCTCCTTCTAGAGCAACTCTCATGGCAGTAATTGCTGCCACACACTTTTGCCATCAATTCAATGTTGTGTCTTTGTGTCTGTGCTGAAGCGCTCAGACACAGATGAAATGATGTCTCATCAAGGCCAATTAAAGTGATCCAAACCTTTTTGTTTGCCTGCCTACAGGGAGTGGAAATGATCATCCTCATCTTTCGGCTTTGCATGAATTGCATCGGGTTAGCAAACCAAGATTGCTCAAGTTGAAAGCTTAGACATTGGGCTCTTCCCAGGGTGAGGTGGAAGTAAAGAATCAAAGTAATTCCTGGCATTTCACAKATGATGTAAAATCCCTATGCTCTTTGGGATCAGCGAGTTTCATTTTTAACAATCAAGCATTATATGCTCTGTGTAGGCTGGGACACCAGCTCATATCACTGGCCCAATCAGATGTAGACTGCTCGCTTCAGGAGACCACATGGGAAGGCCTAAAAGGACCCACAGGGTTCGAGGGAAACCCTGAGAAATCGCATGTTGACCCACAGACTCTTTCACTAGGATCAACACATTGCCATGCCTCAAAATCAAAATCATGTGGACTGTTGCTGACATTTAATCTAGAAGTATCCAACACCCACCCTGACCATATTTTTCACTTTTGATTTGTACAGAGCATCTGGCAGGGGTCTGTGAGCAAAGCCAGCCAGTCAGGCTTTCTAGGTTTTTCTTTTTAATGAACAGCATCAATATACTTGTCTAGATCACCTAGAAATATGATAAAATTTTAGAGGGATCTGGTATACTGAGGCACAAGCAGCTGAAAGTCTGTTTCCATTCTGCAGTTCCAGTTTTACACCTGTGGCTTGTGTTYAACCAGTAAAGCCCCTGACCACACTCCATAGACCCCAACTACCATCACACACTTGGTCAGATGTCTGCAGGTCATCCTACCTTGACTTCTGGCCAGAATTCTTCTGCCCTCATCTGTGGATCCAGGCCCTGTAAGAGGAATGGGGGTCAGTGKCACTGATGGCTTTGGCTGAGAGATKYCATCCTCAAGGGAGCTGTGAATCCCCCAMAGGATCAGATCCTAGCTGACTTATTTCCCTTAAAGAACCAACAATACAGCAAGCTTCTTCTAAAGGACATATATGCAGATGAATCTTTAAGATCGATGGTTATGTAGAAAAAAAAATGCATGGCAGAGATATTTTGCTTTTGGTGGCAGCATCCTCACTAGGTCAGAAACAGTATTTCCTATCTGACTCTGACCTACACATGCAAGAAGGATCAATACTAGACAAAATACCACAGTGGAAATGCACGTCTTGCAAAAYCAGGTTGGAATTATCTCAGTGTGGATTGAATCAGCCACATATGGCCTTCCAAAGGATTCTGTTGGAATGGGAAATAACCCAGAAGGTAACAAAACTGATGGAAGATTTAGAAGACAAAGTCTGTAGGAAAAGCTTTCCTATGTATGTAGCGTCTGGCCTGGGGAGTGGGTAGAAAAAAATAATCCAGAATGGCAARACAGTAATCTAGGAGAACTGGGAAGGAGTGGAGAATGGGAAGTTTATGGCAAAAGGAAGAACCATTTTTTGCAGGAGTCCATGCAGAATGGTCCCAAAAACCTGCAACAGCACAAAATTTAGAACAGCATTTTAGTAAAACAAATAATACAGAAGAGTAAGTTGTCACAGGAAATTCATGTGACATCTCCATCACAGCAGATATTCTGTTTGGAGTAGGATGGGGCAGGCAGTTACTGTTGCTTCACAAGGACCAGCAGGGATTCTTTACCTCTGAAAGTCATATAATCTGTTTTCACTCTGTTTATCTAGTTCAGTAAGAACACACAAAAAAACCCTATATATATATATATATATATATATCTGTATATATACCCTCAACATACTGTGATGGTTAGATAGTTTATACACAAGAAAACACTCTTCACAGCATTCCCAAGCCTGAAGGTAGAAGGGCATGTCTTTGATATCCCATTTGCTGTTGTTATAGCCTCTGGTTTTAAGATTTAAACCTTTTAACAGTGTAATAATGAGCTTTCCATTTCTCTGCTGACGTGGCCGATGCCTGCAGGCTATTGAGCTTAAAAGCCAAAACACACAGACATAGAAAATTTGCTTTTGGGTTGAAAAAATATATATCCTATTGGAAGGGTGGGATTTAATTAGCCTTTGTTCTCCCCAGTCTCACATAAACAAGTACACGCATATATCTCCAAGTCCAAGGCAAGCATAATCTCAAGAGCATGTTCCAACCAGCATCTGACTAGTCTCTTGTGGGTGGTAGAAACACATGTGGAAGTTGCAGGGCCCAAAGTTTAGGACTTTGCTTACCATAATGTCCACCCGGATCACATGAGATTTTGCTACTCATTGAATGAAATGTGGTGAGTTAGGCCAGGTCCTGATAGCCTCGGTCATCTGGGCCAGCATTTGCATCTCCKGGGACTACTGCTGCATTCGCAGTGAATACGTGTATCAGGAGTGAGCACAGAGCTGTTTTTGTCTTCAGCTTTAATGTTTGCCAGTGAGTTGTTCCCAACAAATAGCAGTAACAACCTGTGGTGACTGATTTAAAAGAAAAAAAAAAATCCCAAAAAACTTCCAAATCCTGAAATGGATGGTATACATAAATGTGGATAATATGGTCCTCAAAGCAGTCATAATAAAAAAAAAGAAAAAAAAAATAGGAATAAAAGGCATTTTCAAATGATGATAATTATCTATTTCACTACACTGTAACCAGGTAATTATAYCCTGAAACACATTTTCTGCCTTCGTAAAGATTCTGGTGTTGTTTCCCAGCCACTCAGCCATGCAGCTAAATAAAGCTAGGATACAGCCTGCATTATCGGTCGTGTTGTCTACATCTTCCTCCTCTGCCTTTTTGTTTTCTTCCTCTCTCCTCCTCCTCCTCACAACCCAGTTCAGCTCTATGAAAGATCATTGCCTGCCTCATACTGTGGAAAGCAGGTATAATTCCACCACYGACAAACCTGGAGAAGCAAATCTCTTCAAAATAAGAGAGAACCTCATAGTAAGAAGTCAAAGCYGGTTTATGCCCACAATTTAGCACCTGTCTTTTCCTCTACACTCACCCTGTGACTGAGCCAGGATTCCTGGGACACTTTTCTTACCTGGTTCCTTYTCAAAAATAGGCCTAAAACATCTTCTAGCCTCAGATCTTCCTCTTTCTAGAAGACCATAGCAATAGCTGAGAGTTTTCTCCTTATGGCACCAAAAGCGTATTTGCRTTCTTTGAAAGGTTGTTAGTGAAAGGTTGCCCTTGGAACAAGGGCAAAAGATTAAAAATTAAATCTAAAGAGATAGGGAGGAGAGGGAGAGGAGAACCAAACTAGGAGTCCAGGGTACTGTGCTCCTGTAGAGAGCACAGCGGTTCTGTGCTTTCTTGGGAAATCTTGCAGAAAACTTTTCTGTGATAAAAGAATATATATATATATATGTATATATATATATTTACATATCCATGGGGCCAGATGGGCAAAGTAACTCTTTACTGCTTGGATCACAGAATCATTGGAAAAAAAAAATATTAAGACAGGCCCTTCCCAAGCTATCCAAGCACTGCTTTTTGATTCTTGTGTTTTCTGTACATGATATCATGTTTTGCTTGATAACAGAGAATCAAAGGCACAGCCGAGAGTACAGAATTGCACTGATCTCTTAGCCAAGATAATGGAAAATTTTCAAAAACTATCAGCAGAGCATAGAGAAGCTGGTCACAACACTGCTGCTGTGATAACTCGCTCTGTTTTCTTGTGGACGGCTGATGGAGGCCTGTTCCCCTGGAGGTGGAATTTCAATGAATAACTTAGCATTTTAGTAAGCAGGGACTGTGAGAAGAAAAGTTGTGGAAGCAAAAGAATCATATTAACCGTATTTATGAATTTGCATTCAGGCAGTGGCTGGAAAATACAATGCAGTCTTTTTGCGTTCAGTGTGGAAAGCTGGGTACAACGGGGCCATTTTCCTACATATGTTTTATACAGTGGAGCCTTTGGCTGGTTTTCACATTCTGCAAAGTTCAGTCTTGCTGCCATCAGTGGACGGAGTCCCCATTATAGTCCAAATGCARCGTGTGCACATGTACACACAGTCCAAATCCGCCTCTTTCCAGGGACATACCTCTACCACRTATTTAAACGAGTGAAATGAGCCTTGCTCTACACTTCCTCCAGCACTTAATACTTTGCAAAGCTTTCTCCTTTCCGCTGTTTTTCTCAGTCATATAAGAGGTGATCAGCATCTCTGGGCTGCTGCCAAGAGCAGATCCTGGCCAGCCGGATTAGCAGCAAACGTATTTATTCATCTTTACGTGCAGCGCGTGAGTTCTCCAGCGGAGCAGAGCGTTGCTCTGTTCTAGTGCCTTGAGAGCCCCAGATGCAGGTTGTCACCACGTGTGGGACCACACAGGCCACGTGCTGCTTGCCAAGGTGATCCCTGATGCACGGCAGCAGTGTCGGCCGTACCCGGCTGGCACCTACGTGCGTGTAAAGCTGCTGACACTTGTCGCAGGACAGAGCTCCAGAGCAGTGATTTCTTCTGCTCTGACTAACCTCAAACACCAGCTTAARCCATCCGACAAGGTCCATGGTTTGTCTGCATATTGAAAGCGGCAGCTCTTAAGCACAATATCGTTAACATCCCAATGAAGGCTCTCCAAACCAGAGCGTGATTGCAGATGAGCACTTTGCACAGGAATCTCTCTTCTAAGGGTGAAAGGGAACCCTCACTASTGGGCTATTTTTATTCTTGCAGTCCATACGTTGCAATCTACAGTCAGCATTGAGATCAAGTGAGAAAGAGCGTCTTAAAAGTCAGTTGCTGCTTTAAAGTCCATTTGACTTTTTACCCTTGACTCAGTGCGATTCAGATGAAGAAAGACTTAGGAAATATAGAAACACTACCAAAAAAAAAAAACAAGACCTGAGCAATAGGCAGGTGCTCTCGGCATATATGTAAAAGTCACTGTCAGGAAAAGAACAGTCTGGATAGTCCTAAATCTCATGGCAAAGTTGTCTGTATTTCTCTAAGTTTTTAAGCTAACACAGTGAGGAAAAAGAGGCAATTTACTTAGGCCCTGCGTGTGCTCAACAGATTGTCCCACTGTGTGCTGACATTTAAGATTTTCAAGTCTCATGTTGAAGCGTGACCTTGGAAAGCCTGGAAGGGAAGATCTTTTAGGAACAGAGGCCTCGTGAGAGCACATCTCCTAAATGCATCATTGAAAGAAGTACAAACGGCCTCTTTGGCAGGGCAAACTTCTAGGGCATTTTCTAGCCACRGTGTCTTTAATAAGGACACAAGTTGTGTGTCCACACTGGAAAGTCCTGGAGCTACTGTCAAAAATCTTACTGGAACTGTGTTCACTCAGTTCAAGCCGAAATACTTGGGTGCACACAGGACACAAGTCCAAATAGACAAAATCAATAATGTTCAACTGTTATTTTAAAGCCTGTTCTGCCATTAAAACCTGTGAGTGAAATGCAAGATTCGCTTAAGTTTGATTTTACTTTTAGACGATTGATTTAATTTTCCATCCTCCAAAAATTACTGAATAAATAACAAAATAGAACATAGGCAAATCCCATGGATTTCTGTACCATTCGGTGCAAAGTACATCCCTGAGCTGTTTGGGGACTAATAGGTTGAAGATGGGGGCCTCGCATGAGTAGTTGAGAGCAAAACTTGCATCCCAGTGACTGGTATGAGATGGAAGAGCAYGAATGCCAGTTTGGTGATGCAAATTCCTGTTAGTCTATTTATTCTACAYGAAGACTCCTTTAACATAATGAGAGCACCTAACAGTAGCATTTCAGGACCACATTATCTACCAATTTCTAGTAGCCCAATTAATAACTAAAGCACAATTAATAGAGGCGACTACARCCTATAACTTCCCACTACGAAAAAAACCCCAAGATTATTTGTAG